TAAAGTTAAGATAGCTGCCGATATTATAATGAGGTGGGGCCGGAAATATTATAAAGGAGTCTTTGGCAGCTCCCACCGCAGTTTATTGTAAGTGAAACATTGTGATGCTATGTTACATGAGAAATAGGGTCACGGTACATGCACACATTCAACTTGTATTCAGTAGAAAATATATAGGTAGTATCATTCATAGATATATGTATGTGTCGTAACACACATTATTACATAGGTAATGTAAGATTCACACATTTTTTCTAATCTTATAATAGTATTTTCTGTACCCTGTTGGTTCTCCGCTTTATTTCGACCAATAGCATTTAATATACGGGTTTATTACTACGTTACTGGATTTAGAAATTCTTTTCTTAACATTTCATATCGGAGGTCGGCGATCATCAGAATATTGATGGATATATAGCTTGAAGTGAGAGCGACTTCGATGAGGATAATAGATCGAGTGACGACATCAAACAGGCAGAAAATAGAGTGAACCCCACTGGATAGAGCTACAATCTCAAATTACAAGGAGTAGATAAACATAAAACAATAGATGTACATAGATCAGAACAGGCTCCTTGTGAGTGGCCTATGTTTAGTAGTGGACAAGGAATGGTAGAAATTATTACGACATGCATAGAGAAGGTGACAGATGAAAGATCGACATACAGGCGATTTTTTTGTAAAGAGGCCGTCATTAAATTACGTAATTTGAAAATAGGCGGGGCGGGGAGTCTGATCTACGGAAATGGAGATATGAAGCGTAGGGAGAGAGGTATAGCTAAAGTTGACGTCATCTTCGAATGGTTGCAGTAATGGGTTAAAGATATATTATCTAATACAAAAAATCTCTTTTATTAGTTATATACTTTTTGACAGGTACCTATCATTAGAATTTGCAAGTATTTTTTTTACTAAAAATTGCAAATGTGTATTTTTTATTCTTAGAGTTCCGTACCATAATGGTTCTTTTATACCATTTTTTTTTGTACGATTTTGTCCATTCCTTTTTGACTTATGAAAATAACTCGACTCTACCCAAAATAAAATAACATTCACATCCTCTCTCCATTTATCGTTTCTCCAAAGTTTATGAAACCACGAGGAGTTATAAAATTTAAATTGAAGCCGCTATGGTTCAAAGTAAGGAAATTATACATGGAACGTTCGATGTATGTTCAATAAGTTTTATTCTCATGTTGATTTCATATATAATTTTATTACGATATAAGTCGTAATTTTTATTTGTCTTACAATTAATAGATTTGCTCTTAAATTTTCAACAACAGGAGGCGGAGGGGGTGATTGTAAAGGGAGACGTAATTTATGTTTGTGTTACATGCTAACGTCCATATTCTATGATTTGCACTGATTACGTTACATTATTATTATATTTATATATTTACATAACGTTAGTTACATTGAGTTACGTGAATTAGATCTCGAGTTTGATTCTCATACGGATTAATTTCTAAAAGTATTGAGAGTTTTGGATTATACCCTCAGATGTCCATTGTGTGGTTTCCCATAGTTTTTTTCTTTTTTTTTATGGGTGATAATGGAATGGTAACCCCACTCGCGCTGTCGGTATACACCGTCGGGGCACCAGTGAAAGATGATAGGTGAGGATGAAGCAGGCCAGTTAGCCCATCGTGACGAATGCTATATGGCTATATGGCATATTGCTAGCAATTCAACAAGTATTAAATATACCAGTTTGGGAACTAGTCAAATGACGTGTTTTTGTGATACTTTAAAATAATAATAAAGACAAGAAAAGGTCTAAAGTAATAATACATTTATTTATTTATTCAGGGGTTTGTGTACAAAGCGGACTTAACCACGTGCAGGTCGACCTGATAGGGCATATTGCTAGCAATGTCGAACTCCATTGCTAACAATCCCTTTCTTCCCATGCGTACATACTTAGGTTTACATATATAAAAAATATAGTTACAAAAATATAAAATATACATAAAAATTAGAATAGTAGATAGATAACACTTACTGCTCGGATAAAGTATAATAGTGAATATAAACTTTTTGAATGACGATTTAGACGGAAGTCTCTTGATGGTAACAGGGAGCACGTTCCAGAGCTGTAAAGAATGTAGAACAAAAGAATTTAATAGGAAACCAGTACGGTGAGAGAGGATAGACATTTGGGGAGTATCATAGGAAAAAAAATTGCAATTGATAAGTTTTTCATAGTATTATATATAGACTCCATATTAATTGTTGGCAACTGAAGCTTCCATTTTATTTTTTGGAAAAAAAACTATGATAAGGAATAAAATAAGTATATAAACGAGATACTGTGTGTATATACTGAACAAGTCACTTTAGTGTATAAGTGTAGATACTTATACACTAAAGTGACTGAAACGTTTCGTCGTTTATCGGTGTGTTTATGATTGAAGCCGCTTATTTTTCGTGGAACAAAACTAATATAATACTAATAAAATAAATCTAGGTATAGATTTTTTTAATGGATGATAAAGGAATGCTAATTCCGTCTACGTTAACAGTATACGCTGCTGTCGGGGTATCAATGAGGGATGATAGGTGAAAATAAAAGGGCAGACTAGTTAGTCATTATTATTACAATCCAACACGATGGTTTCCAGGGGGGACCATGTGGAGGTCGACCTGACAGGGTATATTGCTAGCAATAGGACTGGTAGTCCGCTTTACCAATAATCCCTTTCCCCTATATACCTAGCTTACTTACCTGTTGGTTGAAAAAATCTACTTTTTAACTAATTATTTAGGAAAGAAAGTACATTCTATTAGTATTGTGAATGTGAAAGTTTGTAAAAATATTCGGATATTTGTATGTTTCGTTACTCATTCACGCTTACACAGCTGGACGAATTAAATTTGGTATACGTGTCGGTTATATACTAACTAAAGAGTGTTCATAACTTTACCTTGACGAAGTGTGGCAATATTCCAATTATCTGTTAATTATTAAAAACAATTTAAAATTTTTCAATGTTTATAACTGTTTATTTAAATAGTGATCCGACAGCGAATTAAAATGTTAATAATAGAATACTTTGCATATAGATCTACCATTAAACACTTTTCACCTATTTCATATTCTTCTTTGGAATTTGTTAAATATAGCTTAGCTTTACTTTTAGCTTTAGTGACAAAAGTTTTTTAAATCTTTTCTTTTCTAACATATTAATTAAGTCTTCAGAAAAGCGGTAATAATGAATAGAACCCACAACACGTAAAATTGTTGATTGTCGGCATTTCTTATAATCATTTTTTAGCTTTTTCCAATAAATATTGATAAACTGAAATAATATTAAATAATTTCAATTAATAATTTACTGTGGTAAAGCCACGCTGTATATACATTTGTGTACCCAGCTTCTGATCCAGAGGAAGCAAGTAGCAAATCTATTATTACTATATACACATATAACAACAGACGTAGATATATATACAAAAAAGAGGTAAAAGGATCCATACACAAAAAAAAGAAAAACAAAAAAATAACAATTTTTCATTTCATGCGTGTGCCACAGTAACATTTGTCCCATTTGTGTTTATTTCGTGAAACATTATTTATTAAAGCTTATGCGTATACCTTATGATTTGTAGGTCACCTTTTATAGGTAGAAAAATTATAGAATTCGAAATTATAATATTTTAGTCCTTAGAAATAGCAAAGTATAAGGGGTTCTATGGGCTTTGCAATATTTTCTGAATGCCATTGAGTAAATAGTATATATATAGGCGTAACAGGGGGGAGGAGGGAAGACAGCTGCTCCTCCTGAAATATTTATGTATTACAATATATATTATACGTCAACTTTTGAAAAAACCGCGCAGTAGCAGTAAGCAAGCGCCACAATTTCCACAAATCTGACTTGGGCCAAACGCTGGGTTTGCCCATGTATATATATATAGTTCATACCTATAAGCAACGGTTTCCACTGCCGCTTTCCAGTTGTCTGTGTAATTTATCTATCGTCACGAATTCACTAGGAATCCATTGGACTCCGTGGAAATTGTATAGAGTATATTGTTAGAAATGCGGCTATTAGTCACCATTATTCGTCTTTATTGTTTCATCCTTCTTAATTAGTGTATCTTCATATCATATAAAATAACGCTGGCGTACCAGTGGAGGATAAAATAATGAAGAAGTTAGGTCAATTGTTCTATTACACTAGGAATTAATAAATAAAGTAAATTCGTTACATTAGGCTTATTTCACCTATCATCTCTAGTACCACATCAACGCCCTGTAAAACAGTGGCACAGGTGGGGTACCTATTATTCTATTTAAGGGGGGGGGGGGGTTTGTAAGTAACAAAGAATAGAGGTCCCATTAGAAGCATTACATCTTGTTAGGTTTATTTACACGCGGTCCTGTTGATCGCCTCTTTGATCAGATCAGTTAGGTGTGCTTTCATTCTCTTTTGTCATTAGTGAAGGATGATAGGTGAGGTAAAAAGCAGGTCTTTTTTTTTCTTTCTTTTTTTTATGGATGTTAATAGAGTGGTAACCCCATAGTGGTAGTGGTAAGTGGTGGAATTAAAAGGCAGGTCAGTTAGCCTATCGTGATGAATACACTTGGAAGTCAGCACGATGGTTTCCAGGGGGGACCACGGGGAGGTTGACCTATTAGGGTATATTGTTAGCAATGAGAGTGGTAATCCGCATTACTAACAATCTCCCCCCCCCTTCCCGAAAAGGCAGGTGGGTTAGCTCATCATGATGAATACACAAGGAATTCAGCAAGATAGTATCTAGGGGGACCACGTGGAGGTTGATCTGACTGGGTATATCGCTATCAATGGAACTGGTAGTACGCAATACTAACAATCCCTTCCCCTCACCATCCCTTGCTATACCGTTACCGTTAGCACATGCAAGATTATCAGTTCGTTAAATTAATATACAATACTAAAAAAATTAATATAATACAATAACAAAACGCAATGGTCATTAAGTCAAGCCGTCAAATATCAGCTGGTTGTCAATGTCAACTCGGATCGGCGTTTCGGAGTTTCCGAAAAACACAATAGAGGAAAAAAATCGGAATCTTATAATTTTATGATAATTTATTTTTATTTACGATTTTGTATTTCAATATCGTAAGAAATGGCATGGCAATAGAGAAATATTTAGTCAGTGGATACATTTAGGGCCGGTTTTCTGAGAAAAATATGTCATATATAAAATAATAGTTATTTGTTCCATCCTATATCCAGTTCCAGGAAACCAGATAGAATGGTGTATGATATTTCTTGAATTGTGTTGAGGTAAGTTTAAAATTTTATAAACGTATTTGTGATAATATTATTAGTTAGTCGATTAGAATAATTTTAGAACAATTCCGCTACCATAAGTATTTTTAGTGTGTGCGACTGCCAACGAGTGATATGGATATCCAAAAAAGAACACAAGTTTCAGTAAAATATTTCGATAAATATGTTTAATATGTAAATGAAAAAAGTATCTCTTAGTGTCTGTCTTGTGAACTTAAGTTTTATTTTCGAGACAAGAGATGGTTTTTATTAAAGTAATAAATACTTAACTGTCTGTTTTCAGGATCATATTCTACTAAAAGCAACACTTTTGGATCATGAGAGTACGAGAATTATGTATATGGACATTTGCACATATTTTTAAATCTGTGAAACGTAGAGTATTTTTGCTCCTATGCTTCATTTGTGTCTTTATTATTATAATAAAATGGAGGCTCACCTGCACAAATGTGCATCCTCGTTTACACATACAACACATAGTGAGTAAAATTATATTTTTTTAAATAAGCATCAAAATCCAGTGTATGCCTAATTGTCAAATCTTATCTCTGTAAATTCATCAGCATGACTAATATACCCCAGACTTGGATAAAAAAATATAAGTAATACAACTATGTTATGTATTATAAAGATCTTATTCTATATGTCTCTATGTTTATTAAAATTAATAACAATGACAACAAAAAAGCTTATTTTCACATTTATTATAGATATTTTAAATTTTATATTCATAATAATGTAATGATAAAACAGCATTTCATATTTTAATTCAAATTTTACTTTTACAGAAGTAATAATGAAACTTGGCTTATAATATTATTTAGAGATGATTATGAAACTTTCTATTATTTGGATGATGGATTTTTAAGTTCTGTTCTTTTAATTTCAACAATATTTTACATTTCTGTAATAGTATAATGATCCCATAGTCTTAGGTATAATACTCTGTGTAATTTATTATTTAAAATTTATCCTTTATTTAATTTCTTGTTTCAGTGTACCAACTATGCAAAAGGTGCATCTGTTGGTAATTTATGCCAGAGTTTATGCCATCCTGATGGAGTGCCTTCACTTTCTTGTCACAGTTTTTATATGGAAAAGGAAGCTGTTTTCTCTGGAACATGGATGAACAAGAGTGTAGTTTTTAAATCCTTAAAAAAATCTTCAGATACAAAGGAGTTAAAACAATTAAATAGTCTTAATGAAAAAAAGTATCCCACTGAAGAAGAATTTTCAAAAATGATTCAAAGTAATATAAGAAATAAATTTAACATTTCTGTCAATGATGTTGATGCTTGGAGAATGTCTTATATTCCCAATCAACTTGGAGGAATTGAAAGGAATATTGAAATGGAGAATGTTTGGTCATTTTTACAAGACAATGAATATCTTGCTTTATTATTGTATGAGAAATATGCTATCTTCCCAAAATTACTAGGATCCTGTGGTTCACTCTATGCTGTTCAGAAATTGAACTCTATATCGGGCTATTGGCATTTAATGACTTTGTATGATAGCCAAGAAGAATGGGAGAAGAGGATAAAGTTGTCTTTGATGATATTAGATTATTTATTTTTATTAGAAAAAAAGTTGCCAGAGCCCTTGCACATTTGTGATGTAAAAATGAATCATTTTGGAGTAACCAGTGACTCCAAAAAAATTATGTACCTAGATTTAGATTCTGTTCACCCGCGCACCATAGTTGATAAAATTACAGGTGATGGTTCTCAGTGTAAACAGCATAGCGACTGTGATTTTTTAGATTGTAGGTCATTTTGCAATTTAATAACATTTAAATGTGAGTATGGAGTTGTCAACAATAATTTGCAAATTGTGTGTGAAAGAATCTTTTTAGGTTGGGTGATGTCTGGCAGGGTAATGGTGCCAGGGTTGTTGTTGGGGCCTAGAACACCTAGGGTTCTTATTGAGCTATTAGAGCTTTGCGCTAACCCTACTAGTGAATTGGGCATATCTCGAGCTCCCGCCTCTAAGGAAATCAGAAAGAGGCTATATAATTTATTAATTAATTTAAAATTATCTTAAACAATGCTGTGATAAATTTGCTTATTTAAATATTGTGCAATACTATATCTAGTCACTGAATAAGAATTGAAACTATTGTTAATACTTAAGTCAATTTTAATTAGATATTTAAATTGTTATGATATTTGATCTCTTATGATAAAAATACTATTTAGTATATAAGTTAAATAATATGATAGGACATTCCTGAACAATTACAAATAGTGCCTTAGGCATAATATAGTCAAAACAATTGGCTTGATAGATTTATGGAAAATGTTAGGCAATTTTATTTTATTTATATTATTATATACTCATGTAATTAATTTAAATAGAAGAAAATAATTTCTATGCACATAGATGTGTCCACATCGATTTAAAAATATTGAAAATTCGTCTTATATGATTGGAAATGCTTCCCTCACTCTTGGATCACGCATCATCTGTATCTCTAGAAAATAATTTTCTCATCTATAAAACAGTGTTGAAACCTGTGTATGAATATATGGAACTGGACTATGAGGAATTCAATGTGGAAATACTTTTAAAGATTCCAAATTAAAACCCTAAAAATGATAGCATATTCTTCAACGTTTATTAAAATTTATATACTATATGAATATGTAGATTAACACTGTCGAGAAGGAAATTGAGTACAGAGCAAAAACATACAAAGTGCATACTGCAAATGCACACAGCCGCACTAGCCGCAGCTCTAAAGGAATCTACAAAAGTAAAAAGACTTAAACATCATCATATCTTGGACTTCACTTGACTGGGAAGTAATAAAATGGAAGATGGATTAATAAAAGTAGCGGGGCGATTTTCAAGCAATCTGCTCATGGGTTTATAACCGATTGCATGATGAAGTGCTATAAAAGAATTCATTTAATATAATATTATAAAGGATACCTTTAGTTGTATCTATAGATAAGCTTTCAAGACTCTATAATATAAAATGTAACACTTTTTTGACTATTAATTTAACAATATATTATAAATTAAATAATTCATACTCTTTTTTTATATCCTTATTTTATATAGAATTTGGCCAAAAACTTTATTGGTAATAATAATATTATTTAAATATTTAATCTGTATTAAAATATGTTAAAATACTTTCACTTTGGTTTAGAATCACTACTTTATAATGATTTCAAAATTTGTATTTTTTCTCAGGGTTCATAGAATTCCAATACCAAATAGGCAAAATTTGCTATATGAAAATCTGATAGATACAAATCAATTTTATAATTGCTTTTTTTCTCATTCCATATGTATATGTAAGTATGCAATTTCCTTCCATTTTTAGTTACCTTAGTAACTAAGTAATAAGGACGTAATTAAGTACTAACACGGAATCTTATATTTCTATGATGCTTTTGTATCTATCTGAGTGTCACAATTTCACATTTTTTGTAGCTTTTTTCTATCTTCATGAAAATATTTAATCCTATAAAGTTTTTTGTAATAATGTAATCCTAACAAAAAAAGGTATGTAGAATAAATAAATAGGCGTGGAAAATTTATAAAATGCAATACTAGCGTCAAACCGACTAAGAATTAATTTATTTATTCAATATTTTTTTTTTCCATAAAAGCATAAAGCGTATATTAGAAAACGTCAATACAAATACGTCCATGAACATTGTTTTTATTGTGGGAATCAAACCCGCAACCTTCGAAGGTAAGGCTGTGCATTAAACCATTGCACCAACAAGGTTATCACGACCACATTTATTTATATCGGTTACGCTTGTGGCGATACGATCTTGCCGTCTAAATTTTTATGGGATGAAAATGGAAATGTAACCCGCTTGCCTTATTATGTTAGGTGGAGATGAAGTCATATCAGTCAGTCCATCGTGGCGAATTCTTTACAAATGAACACTGGTTTTTAGGAGCGACCTTGTGAAGGTCGATCTGACAGGGTATAGCTAGCAATAGCGTATTTTAGTGAGTGGTAATAGAATGGTAAACGGTAACGGTATACGCTGGTGGGATACCAGCGAGGGATGATGAGACCAGTTAATTGTGATCTGGAATTTAGCACGATAGTATCTAGAGATTTTAAAATTAAGACTTCTTGGGTAAAAATGAAATGGTAACTCCATCTGTACTATCGGTATATGCTAGCGGAGTACTAATGAAATGTGATAAGTGAAAATGAAAGCAGGTTAGTGGCCTCATTATGATGATTCGACAATAATAAACCACGATGGTTTCCAGGGGCACCGCGTGCAAGTCGATCTGACAGCAATGAAACAGTTTTTTTTATGGATGATAATTGGAATTGTGTCCTGGCTGCGTTAACGGTATACGCCGGTGATTCACCAATGAAGGATGATAGGCGAAAATGAAGGGGCAGGTAAGTCAGCACATCATGATGAATACATCCGGAATACAGCATGATGGTTTCCAAGGGGACCACGTGGAGGTCGACCTGACAGACTATATTGCTAATAATGGGACTGGTAGTTTGCATTACTAACAATCCCTTTCACCCGCAATGGAGCTGTTAGGCTCTATTATTAATAATCTCTTTCCCTCCAACAATAGGGATTAGGCATCCCCATTGCTTCTACCGGTCGGCCTATAGCTACAGTATAACATTTGTAATTTTATTACGAACAGAAGTGCAGAACTGTCGAAAGTTTGTCAGAACCCAGAGGTTGGCACTGCGATGCTGGACTTCACGACGCATGCGCAACGATGGCCGCCGACCTTCCTACGTCCTTACCGCCAGTCGACGTCTTACGTCGCGCGTAGTGCGTGAAAATAAACGATATAAAATTTATAAACATTGCACACTCTCGTTTTTATACACGTAATTGTCACAATTATTGGATACTGTACTATGTGATGGTGTTAGTGATGTGAATTTAGTACCTACTGTGGTATTTATATAGAATCTACCTTCATAACTTTCAGGTTTGTATTGTATAAATACTAAGTTGCGTATCGGAAGATAATGTAGTGTATTTGATAAGTTTCAGCCATACTAACTTACAATATTTGTAAAATTATTTTTTTTAGAATATTTTCTAAAAATATATTTTTGCAATGTGAGCGGGAACTAATTTAGGATTGTGACCTTGTCCTATGTTCGAGGTTAATGTCCCCAAAGTTTACTTACTTAGATGTTAATTATTTGATATTAGTTAGGTACTTGGCTACTTTTTTCCATAAAGCATATAATTTAAGTAATAAAACATAATTATGTAACAATAAATAAAGTACTGTAGTGCTATTCTCTAAGCAAACAGCCTAGACATCAGCCTTGACGCAGCGATGAAATATTGAAATGGTATTCACTAATTCTTAAGACGCGACACTAGCGCCCAAAGACGAGCTCAAAGACGAGCGGCATAAACGGGAACTACTCAAGGCTGTGCGATTTGACATTTTGCCATAGTATTTGGTATTCACTAACAAAAATCAGCCTCGCCTTCGCCGACAGCCTAGCCTACAGCCTCGATTTCTTATGTCAAACTCAAAAGCTTTGTTTTCTACGCTGTTTGCATAGTATTCATCTAATATATTTATTTGTTTCTTGAATTCTGTGATTATTAATTGTATTGAAATTATCAATTTGTGTTTAAAAACGATTGCTGCCCGTTTATGTGTAATGACCCATTTGTTGAAAGAAGCTAAAATAGAAAATGATTGTAAGAAATGCCGACAATCAACAACTTTATGTGATGTGGATTATATTCATCATTACCGACTTTCTGAAGAATTAATCAATATGTTAGAAAAAGAATTGTCACCATGTATGCCTGTTCCAGAGAGTTGTTAAAGCTAAAGGTTTGTAACTTAAATTTTATTAATTGATGGTATTAGGTACATAAATAAATTTAAAGCAGGAAAAAGAATACTTTGCAGTGATTGTGTGCACTTGTTTATTTTATTGAGACAAGCTTAATTGTGTCAGCAGATGTTTGTGTAGGGAACAACTAGCTAGTTAATAATGGTGTGTAACAAGTATTCTAGTATGCATAATAATACTTCTGGTGTTACAAATATTCATGGATCATGGTAACCGTTTCCCATTAGGTGATCCATAAGCTTAGTGGCCTCTGGTTTTGTATAAAAATAACTATGTCTAATATGTTAGAAAGAAACCAACTTAGTTAAACATGTAGTAAATTATTAATTCATGTCAATTAATTTTTGTTAAATTAGACCACTAAATTTAGCATTCAGGTTGAAACTATTATAAAAAATTGTTTCAAAATCATAGTTTTAAAAAACATGACACACATAAATTCAGGATTGGCTATGTGGCTAATTAAAAATAATTAACATTACTTGTTTTTTTCAGGTGATTTTGAAACTCATTTAGTAGCATGACACAAACCCTTGGACAGCCACAATAATAGTAGTGTATTGCTGTATTGTTTGTGATATGCTGATAATATGATGCAGTTACATCATCTATACAAAATGAAGAAGCACAAAAGAAAATTTTGTAGTCAAAATAAGCTAGCTATACTTTTTGTACTTATATCTTAAAACTATTTTCAAATACTTTTTTATTGTTACATTTTTGTCTACCTGTGAATTAAAATTAATATTATATTATGTTGTAAATGTATATTTTAATTTAAAATTATTATAATTAATTCATATTATAACTAGTATGGAGTAAGAAATTAAAAAAAATATTCATTAAAAATTATTTATTTGAAATTGAAACAAGTTTATAATTATAAAATTTTATTGTAATTGTGTTTTTATTTGAAAATTATATAAGATGAAACTTATATTTCAAAATTACTAATGACTATTAAATGACATAATTTAATCTTATATTTTCAATAATGAACTTGATTTAACTAATAATTCCAATAACTCTTGTTATGTTTGGCAGTGTATATTTTTAGAAATGTATTATTGTAAAATCTATTAGTATTTTAAAAACCAAAATTGAGGTTTCTCCCCTTCTTCACAATGGATGGTAGAATCATAAAGAATTACCATTTATAATATTTTAAATTTAATTGAATAAAAATTATTTGAAATTTTTTTAAAAAATTTTTAATTAAATCGTACAATGGCTGACTTTAATTTAGTCATATCTCATTCATTAGCTATAAGATATGAACTAGTGTTGTCTGATTCTCTATCAAAATTTGTTCTGTCTCTACTCGGTGCTCTTCAGTGGCAACAAATCTTTGTGAGACTACTCTCTTTCTAGTTGAGGCTGCTATTGTGAAGGAGATAAGTGTCATCGGGATACTGTCAGTCAAATGACGGCGTGGACCTAAAAATAACAATAAGACCAATTAGACACATAATTCTAAAATTATAAATTAGTTATTTATTTAAGATACTCCACAAAAATATAATTAATCCTTTTTTCTGTTCGTGTATGTCCTGTCACAAGCCATGTCTGATTCTTTATATAATCCATCAGCATCTCCGACTACTTTGCGAAGGGACCTCATTTCATGGCATGTTACGAGATATGCATTTATTTTAGTTACTAAAAATATAACCTTAAAAACAGTACAAGTAAATAAAAAGCACATTTTACTTACGTATTTGATAGATACATCCAAACTTATAAAACGTTGGTAAAGTTACGTTAATTTTATTAATTATTTTTAAAAGAGAATAAACAAATACAAAAAGTGCGCCTCTGGAATGTTAAGTACAAGGAATATAATACTCTCTACGTACCTACGTATAAGTGTTATTTGTTTATTTTACGGCAATGGAAGCAAGGGTATTCAAACAAATCTTAACTTTAAAAAACAAAATCAAATGTTTGATGTATAAATTTATGTTTATTTTATATAATATTTATTTAAATAACATTCTAAACTGAATAAAACATTCCATTTGTCAATAAAATATTATATTTCTACAGTTATCGGTTTCATTTTACGGTTTTTGTTGCAAGCCCTATCTCGTCCGTGCGCACAGCCTCGAGTTATCACAGCCTACAGTTCGTCGATGAGGTTTGACACGTTAGTGAATACCAATTACCGCAGCGCTGTAGCCACGGTCGTTCGCAAGGCTGATCAGCCTAGAGCTCGTCGGCGGGCGCAGCGTTGCGGTAGATTTTTAGTGAATAGCATTGCTGGAATGTGTTATAACGTTTATATAATTCATATTATCATATTATTAAAAACGATTAATGCTTTACAAATCGCAAATCCGGCCCCATATGAAGTATTGCTGTCACTTTTTTATTAACTTAAGGGTTCGATACCGCTTGCAAACCTGCAATGCTATTCACTAAAAATCTACCGCAACGCTGCGCCCGCCGACGAGCTCTAGGCTGATCAGCCTTGCGAACGACCGTGGCTACAGCGCTGCGGTAATTGGTATTCACTAACGTGTCAAACCTCATCGACGAACTGTAGGCTGTGATAACTCGAGGCTGTGCGCACGGACGAGATAGGGCTTGCAACAAAAACCGTAAAATGAAACCGATAACTGTAGAAATATAATATTTTATTGACAAATGGAATGTTTTATTCAGTTTAGAATGTTATTTAAATAAATATTATATAAAATAAACATAAATTTATACATCAAACATTTGATTTTGTTTTTTAAAGTTAAGATTTGTTTGAATACCCTTGCTTCCATTGCCGTAAAATAAACAAATAACACTTATACGTAGGTACGTAGAGAGTATTATATTCCTTGTACTTAACATTCCAGAGGCGCACTTTTTGTATTTGTTTATTCTCTTTTAAAAATAATTAATAAAATTAACGTAACTTTACCAACGTTTTATAAGTTTGGATGTATCTATCAAATACGTAAGTAAAATGTGCTTTTTATTTACTTGTACTGTTTTTAAGGTTATATTTTTAGTAACTAAAATAAATGCATATCTCGTAACATGCCATGAAATGAGGTCCCTTCGCAAAGTAGTCGGAGATGCTGATGGATTATATAAAGAATCAGACATGGCTTGTGACAGGACATACACGAACAGAAAAAAGGATTAATTATATTTTTGTGGAGTATCTTAAATAAATAACTAATTTATAATTTTAGAATTATGTGTCTAATTGGTCTTATTGTTATTTTTAGGTCCACGCCGTCATTTGACTGACAGTATCCCGATGACACTTATCTCCTTCACAATAGCAGCCTCAACTAGAAAGAGAGTAGTCTCACAAAGATTTGTTGCCACTGAAGAGCACCGAGTAGAGACAGAACAAATTTTGATAGAGAATCAGACAACACTAGTTCATATCTTATAGCTAATGAATGAGATATGACTAAATTAAAGTCAGCCATTGTACGATTTAATTAAAAATTTTTTAAAAAAATTTCAAATAATTTTTATTCAATTAAATTTAAAATATTATAAATGGTAATTCTTTATGATTCTACCATCCATTGTGAAGAAGGGGAGAAACCTCAATTTTGGTTTTTAAAATACTAATAGATTTTACAATAATACATTTCTAAAAATATACACTGCCAAACATAACAAGAGTTATTGGAATTATTAGTTAAATCAAGTTCATTATTGAAAATATAAGATTAAATTATGTCATTTAATAGTCATTAGTAATTTTGAAATATAAGTTTCATCTTATATAATTTTCAAATAAAAACACAATTACAATAAAATTTTATAATTATAAACTTGTTTCAATTTCAAATAAATAATTTTTAATGAATATTTTTTTTTAATTTCTTACTCCATACTAGTTATAATATGAATTAATTATAATAATTTTAAATTAAAATATACATTTACAACATAATATAATATTAATTTTAATTCACAGGTAGACAAAAATGTAACAATAAAAAAGTATTTGAAAATAGTTTTAAGATATAAGTACAAAAAGTATAGCTAGCTTATTTTGACTACAAAATTTTCTTTTGTGCTTCTTCATTTTGTATAGATGATGTAACTGCATCATATTATCAGCATATCACAAACAATACAGCAATACACTACTATTATTGTGGCTGTCCAAGGGTTTGTGTCATGCTACTAAATGAGTTTCAAAATCACCTGAAAAAAAACAAGTAATGTTAATTATTTTTAATTAGCCACATAGCCAATCCTGAATTTATGTGTGTCATGTTTTTTAAAACTATGATTTTGAAACAATTTTTTATAATAGTTTCAACCTGAATGCTAAATTTAGTGGTCTAATTTAACAAAAATTAATTGACATGAATTAATAATTTACTACATGTTTAACTAAGTTGGTTTCTTTCTAACATATTAGACATAGTTATTTTTATACAAAACCAGAGGCCACTAAGCTTATGGATCACCTAATGGGAAACGGTTACCATGATCCATGAATATTTGTAACACCAGAAGTATTATTATGCATACTAGAATACTTGTTACACACCATTATTAACTAGCTAGTTGTTCCCTACACAAACATCTGCTGACACAATTAAGCTTGTCTCAATAAAATAAACAAGTGCACACAATCACTGCAAAGTATTCTTTTTCCTGCTTTAAATTTATTTATGTACCTAATACCATCAATTAATAAAATTTAAGTTACAAACCTTTAGCTTTAACAACTCTCTGGAACAGGCATACATGGTGACAATTCTTTTTCTAACATATTGATTAATTCTTCAGAAAGTCGGTAATGATGAATATAATCCACATCACATAAAGTTGTTGATTGTCGGCATTTCTTACAATCATTTTCTATTTTAGCTTCTTTCAACAAATGGGTCATTACACATAAACGGGCAGCAATCGTTTTTAAACACAAATTGATAATTTCAATACAATTAATAATCACAGAATTCAAGAAACAAATAAATATATTAGATGAATACTATGCAAACAGCGTAGAAAACAAAGCTTTTGAGTTTGACATAAGAAATCGAGGCTGTAGGCTAGGCTGTCGGCGAAGGCGAGGCTGATTTTTGTTAGTGAATACCAAATACTATGGCAAAATGTCAAATCGCACAGCCTTGAGTAGTTCCCGTTTATGCCGCTCGTCTTTGAGCTCGTCTTTGGGCGCTAGTGTCGCGTCTTAAGAATTAGTGAATACCATTTCAATATTTCATCGCTGCGTCAAGGCTGATGTCTAGGCTGTTTGCTTAGAGAATAGCACTACTGGGATCATCGACAATTCTCATAGCTCGTCGTTGCACTGAGTCGAAAGGTTCACTGGTATCTAGGAGCTCCCGCCCATAAGTTTTTTTTTTATACAACTTAGAATGGCAAACAAGCTGACGGCCCACCTGATGGAAAGTGGTAACTGTTGCCTATAGACATGAGCAGTACCATGGACATAACAGAATATACTGTTTCGCCCATGACACCACCCATGCGTTTGCCATTCCTGAGGACTCAGGTGTATTCCTCCGTACCCAGTAAATTCACGCCATATCCCACCCTTCAAACCGAAACACAGCCATGCAAACACAACTGCTTTACGATTGAAACACGAATGGGACAGAGGTACGCATGGGGGGTGTCATGGACGAAACAGTATATTCCGTTATGTCCATGGTACTGCTCATGTCTATAGGCAACGGTTACCACTTTCCATCAGGTGGGCCATCAGCTTGTGTGCCATTCTAAGTTGTATAAAAAAAATGGAATAGTTTTAACATTTTTATGAGATTTTCATAATTTGTAATGCTCTTTTGGCAACACATGAGGCGACACAATATACTTTGTTATATCTATAGTACTGTTCATGTCTATAGGCGACAGTTGCCCCTTTTTATCTGGTGGGCCGTCAGCTTGTTCGCCATTAAAAGTTACTGTGCACGACGCACCTTTTTAGTTTCTTTTTAAATTTTATTAAAAAGATGTTCTTTTTATAATTTGAAGTCTGTGTCAGTTTCAGTTTTGTTTTTGCCTTCGCTTTTTTACTCCGTTGGTTTGCTATGTATATTTTTTATATTATTATATTATCTTTCTAAAACACCGTGTTTCCATACCAGCATACAGTCCTTTCGCCCACAGTTACATAAAAAAATTTCTTTTAAAAAATATTTAGTAAATATAAAGTATAGGAAATTAACTTTAAAAAAATAAAAAATTTGTAAGTCCGACGAAATATTGTACTCTATTTTTTGTCTGTCGAAATTTAAATTTCAGAGGGGGCACGTGTGAGATAACGCAGAGGAGCGGACTACAGTGCCAGTACATATCGTCGAAGGACCTAATAAGGTATCAATTTAATCCAAATTAATATTATTATGTTTGATCCAAATTTTGTTGGTGAATTATGTATAAGGCAATTATTACTTCTGTTATCATCATATTTTTATTGTCGTACTGCTGAACACTGATTTGTCTCTATATCTTCTTCTTTGTGTCTTTTTTCTATTATTTCTCCCTATATACGACTTGTATATGGATCTAATTCGAGTTTCTATTACGCCAGTGTATTATGGATAATATTTATTTGTTTATTGTAAATAGAAAAACTTTTGGGTGGAAATATGTCGTGTCGGAATGGGGCGATATCATTTTAATGACGTATCCCATCACAGATCATCATCATCATATCAACCGTTATCCGTCAGGAATTTACCAGAGGGAGACTTTGTACAAAAGTCGATTGCTTGGTTACCTCTGTCCCATTCGTGTTTCTACCGTGAAACAGTTGTGTTTGCATGACTGTGATTCGGTTTGAAGGGTGGGATATAGCGTGAATTTACTGGGAAACGGAGGAATAACACCTGAGTTCTCAGGAATGGCAATGCATGGGGGGTATCATGGGTATAACTGTATACTCTGTTATGTCCATGGTACTACTCATGTCTATAGGCGACGGTTACCACTTTCCATCAGGTGGGCTGTCAGCTTGTTTGCCATTCTAAGTTGTATAAAAAAAAATGGTCGAACTTATGCGGGCTTTTTTGTCAGTTTAGTTGTACTATTTACTTACAGTATGATTTTAGTACAACTAAATGAACAAAAAGTTTATTTTTGGTTGTTAGTAAAATATAATTTCAAATTTTCTTCCATAAAAAAAGACTTCAATAGTATCTAACGAACATTACAAGAATAATCAAATTACATACAAATACATTAATGTTGAATTGAAAATTCGTTTTTGAGGTAACTAAAAATTACTGCTTAGATAAAAATGTTTTATT